GCCTATCCCTCTCAGAAACTGCAAGGAGAGCTGCAGATGATGCTGAAGGGCTTGGAGCATAAAGTCCATGCCCATGAGGAAATCCTGAGGGCAGGGACACCGGGGGGGTGAAGCCTGGGAACCGACTGGCACTTATCCAGTGTGGGGACAAACTGTGAGGATGGCCTGCATCGAGTGGGTTCATCGGTCTCTTCATGATCTCTTGCTTGATGCGATCCGAGATCTCTCTCTCTCTCAGTTCTCTTAGTTCTCGCTCTCTCGCTTCAAGCTCCATTCTCTCCTGTGAGCCAGGGGGATACAATGCTGCCATGCTGCCAAAATGCAGCAGATCTAGACCAGGTGGAGGAGCACCAGGCATTGCAGGAGGTAGCCCTATTGCAGGTGGTCGCACAGCACCAGGCGAGAGCCCAGCATGTGGACGAGCATAATCGCTGCAAAAATAGGACAATAAGCAATTCAAGAAATTGTACACAAACACTTATTTTTTTAAAATCTATATATATATGTGCATATATTTGATGCTCCACTGTGCAGGCTGTATATAATATATGAAAATGAAATGCATTACCTGAAATATAAGTATAAAAAAACTAGAATTTGTGAACCAAAAAATTAGGTATTTTTTGTGGCTAGGGGAGAAGGACAAGCAAAAGGTTTTGCAGTTCTTAGTGAGTTAATGAAAATAAGCATTTATCAAAGTCAAGTAAATTGTTAACACCAAGAAAAAACAGATAACCAGGCATTAAAGTTATGGCTATCTAAACATTAACAAAATTATTTTTAAAATAAGAACATTTAATTGACTTGTCACAAGAAAATGCTTACAGCCTAGTACTGCATATGTATATAAATATGTCATGGTTGCATATTGGAAACTAACCTTAGTCTGTTCAATGCGGGCGTATCGACAGGGTTTCTCGGCTGCATACTCCCGTAGATGGAGCTGCTCTCTCCTGAGCTTGTGGGTTTTGGGGTTTCTCGTTTGTCTGGTGTACTGGCTTTCCTCTAAAATTCAAAATCAAAGTTTTAAATTCAAATCCTATATTCCTCCTCTGATATGGCATGATCATTTATTTTATTTTCATTTCTATTTGGAGAGAAATTTTTTATTCTACTGTACTAACCATCAAATCAATTCAGTAAAACAATTTCTTAAATGATATACTGTAACCTTTGTCCTGCAATCTAGGTTTCCAACTTTACACTGATTTATTTCCAGTTATTATTTAAAGATAATCATTTATTCAATATTTTGATTACAATAAACCAAAATATATCACCTGTAGTCTTTCCCTCTCCTCTTTCTCTTTTTCTGCTTGTTTTCTTAATCTTTCCTCACGCTTTCGTGCTAACTGGCTGTTAGGAACAGGCTTGAAGGTGAGATCTGTGCGAGTACACGAGTTATAATCCCCTCGATTCCAGTGCCGCAAGAAGCTGTAAATAAAGAGTATCTAATAATGAAACAGATCAATAAATGTAAAGACAAAACCTTGAGTTTCTTATCTGGAATTTAAATTTGTTTCAAATACATAATCAATAATCTACTATTACCAGAAAAGCACACAAAATATCACTTACATAGCACTTTCAGACCGATGGAATTCTGAATCCTCAATCTTAGGCTCTGGAGAAGGTTCCCTGTGTTGAGGAGCCTCATCTTCATCATCTTGCTCATCTCCATCATGGATTGCACCACTTGAACCTATCGAGGGTGGTGGGCCCCCAGTGTATACTGGATGGCTGGGTTGTACCGTAGCAGGAAGTGCCTGGGTAGTGGGTGGTTGGCTGGGGGATGGGCCAGGCACAGGAGCCAAATTGGTTGGCATGGTTGGGGGTTTGACCACAGGCCCTGTGTGCGCCGCAGGGGGTGTTGGTAGAGGTGGAGGCCCTCCTGATGACACTGGAACCATACCCGGTGACATTCTGTGTGCCATGCTTTGAGACATGCCCTGAGACATACCTGGTACTAGTCCTGGGGACATTCCAGGCAAACCAACAGCAGGCACATTTGGTCTTATACCAGCAGGCACTATTGATGGCTGACTAGATGGCAGCTTGCTGGGAGAAGAAATGTGTGGAGGAAGACCTCCAGTGCGACTAGGGTATACTGGCGGTCCAAGGTGAGGTGGAGGGGGAGGAGGAGGATGCACACCAAGGGTCGGTGAAGGTTTGGTAGTGGTTGAGGTGGTAGTTATTGTGGAAGACCCAGTGGTAAGGGGTATTGGGTTAGGAGAAAGCCTACTTGGATTTGTTACTGTAGTTGGGGCAGGCGGCCCAGTGCTACTTGGCCGCTGTAAAGGTGATTGAGATCGTTGAGTTAAGGGGCGTGTAGGCTGTCCTCCATAGGGGAGCTGCATATGGATTGGATAGCCAAATGAAGGATAAGGGTAAGCATATCCTGGAATAGCTAAATTTGGAGGCAAAGATGCAAGAGCTGCAGCAGGAGGAATACCAGGTAGTCCAGCTGTTGCAGGTGGTTTTATATCTGGCCTTGGTTCAGATTTGACTTCTGCTATAATCTCTGGCCTATCTCCTCTTTCAGATTTAATTTCTTGCTTTGGTTCAACTTTCCCTAACTCTAATTTTGGCCCACTTGATAGAGCCGATATAGGTGGTTGTTCATATTTAGGTTTCTCTGGTCTTGGAACTTGTTCTGGCTCACGTTTTATGTGTTCAGATTTTATAATTGGACCTGGAGGATACTGTGGTATACCAGGAGACCTCGTCTGCACTGGCGGAATATTTGTTGGTGGAGTACCCGACACTCCCACTGAGTATATTGCTGGAGCAGGACTCACTCTTGCCACAGGTGTGGTGTTACTGGGGCCCTGGCTCAATGGAAGGCTTGTAGGACCTGGCTGAGTATAACTATGTATAGAGGGTCTCATGGCTGGATGAATACCAGGTGGATATCTCACAATCTCTGCTTCTGATTTGACTTTGACCATTTTTTCTTGTGCAGATGGTGGTGTTCCAGGAGGCACTGATGCAAGAACACTATGAGGCACGCTGACTGGTGCCCTCACTACCGACCCACGCTCATCCACAGGTACAGTATTGATAGGCCGCACAGCACTTGTGACAGTTGTGGTTGCAACTGCTGTTGTAGCCAGACCAACAGATGCAACAGGTGCCACCACTGTGAGTGAGGAAGGCCGACTCACACCAGGAGACATGAGCTGAGAAACGGGAGGAACCCTGGTGGTTGAGATGACAGGCCTGTTAGGAGCTGGGTTTATAAGGCTACTAACAGTGGTGATACTTGGAGGAGAGGATATGATGGGAGGCTTAATGTGAGTAACTACAGGAGGAGCCTGTGTGGGTGAAGCTGGGTTTGGTAGACGACCAATGATTTGTGCTTGTACTGATGGGCCACTATGGGCTGGGGGAGGCACTAGATTGCTCGGAGACACTCTGGGTACAGACGTCGGTACAAGAGCAGCCTGGACCACTGAACCCCGAGGTGGTTGAACCTGAGAAGGAGTTGATACTCCACACGTTACAGCTACTGATACACTTGATGCAGCAGGCGAGCCTGGTAAAACAGGTCTTATTGTTGAAGGAGGCATGACTGGTCTTGCCTTAGGGGGTGGCGCCGGTGAAGGTGATGGCGATGGTGAAGGTGATGGTGAAGGTGATGGTGAAACAGGTATAACATGAGATTGTGCTTCAGGTGGAGGAGATGGAGGCAATGTGGTGGTGGTGGTTGGGGTGGTTGTAGTAGAGGTGGTCACCACAGCTGAGTTTGTTGCTGTAACTGGTGGTGGTGCAGATGCCAGCGTTGCTGGAGGTTGTGGAGTGGACACTGGATGCAGCTGGGGTGTTGGTGTAGATGGTGTGGCAGGAGAGGGGGAACTGGGTTCTCCACTTGCACCATCTCCTTCATCTGAACTCTCCTCAGAACTAAGGCCAGAAATCTGTAATATATATATTTAACATGATGGATATGACAAAACATAAGAAAAAAATATTGATTATGTCTATATCTGATACCATTTACAAGTCAAGTATATAACATTCCTTGTGAGGTAACACAATTTTTCACATGTGAGGCATTAATGTATAACTTTAAAAACTTTCATCTATTTTCATGAATCATCAATGTAAGGACAAGAAATATATTCATATCCTTTCAGATATCTATAGCCATCCCTTACAGAAGAGAGGATCTTGTATCATGGCAAACTAGACAAAACAACGAAAAAGCTTCAGGACACTCACGTCGCCCCCATTCCTTTTTCTCTTGTTTGGTGTGGAAGGACCCGAAGCATCATCTGAGCCTCTCGTGCGCTTGATCCTTCGCCCATTCTTGTCCTCGCCCTTATAAGGAAAAATTATAAACATGTTTCACTGAACACCTTGAGGAACCACAGTCATCAGTGGATAATAAATTTTCTTATACATGTTTCACTTCTATTAAAATTTATCTAAAATCCCTGTCCATATTGTAAAAAAAAACAATAATGATAATAATATAAAATAAAACAATTTTCTTGTGTAAATTAAAATTGTGATAGGCATCAGAACAATAGAAGCCATCAGGGGGGAGACATGGCACAACATGGACTTTTGTACCATCCTGCTTTTTCCCTATATCTATGTTTGGTAATATGGTAACATTTGTTGCAGCACAGCACAGGTTCCTTTAGCTAGTAAGGATGGGAGAAGGGAGGGCAATTAGGAGGGAGAAGCTTCTGTAACTCCTATGTTTTTTTTCATATTTTTTTTTATCAATAATCATACTGCAGTCTGGCAGTTGGATAACATTAACCCTTCAATGACACTATCAGAAATCTCTCAACATCACTGACTCTGGTGACTTCTGGCAACTATCCTGCCCTTTGGCCTGGGAGTCTGCTACATGTAGCAGAACTTTCCGTTCAACTCGCTCTACCTCACTGCAATACCTATAGCCATACCCAGCATGACAAGTCCATTTGTTATGACAGATATAGGCATAACCTGGCAGATACAGGTTAAGGAAGTCAGGGATAACATCTGTCGAAGTAACATAAAAGGAAACCAGCAACCCTCACCAGATGCCATCATCATCATCTGCTCTTCTCCCTGGGCCTATCTCTTTTCTCCCCTTCTAATTGTCACTTATGAATTCTGCTTGATGCATATCAAGTGAGAAATAACTGGATATGTCTGAAGAGCCATATTACTGTTTAAAATATTTCTAAATGAATAATGTTGCACTTGTATGGATATTTTTTATCTCAACCCAGAACTGTCATAATAAAAAAAAAAAAAAAATTGTGAAGCATGAAAATACTGTAGCTACATACATTTTGGAATATTATAGTCATATATTTATAGATTTCATGAGGTATGTTGAATTTTTGTAGAAAGTTTAAATAAATATTCATATATAAAATAACTCCTCAAAGCCACCCTCCTTCCCCCCAAAAATAGAATGATGAAAGGCACTAATGAGCACTTTGAAAATGATGCCATGAATGCATGATGTAGGGCATTCTTACACATGCAGAGTGAAGTATAACAAAATAGAGTATATGTGGAGAGATGTAATCATTAATCTTTTTTTTTCTCCATAAGATGTTTGTACCCCAATATAAGATGGTAACACATGAAAGACAGATAACAGGCTTCTTAAAAAAATTATATATATATATATTTTTTTTTTCATTAGGGACTGGAGAAAGGATGGACAATTATTACACACCTTCTTTGGAGCTGGTGAGGCCGAGTGCCGAGATGTCCTCCTGTCAGGGGTCCTTCTGTCAGGAGTCCTCCGGTCAGGTGTTGGGCACTCATCTGTCATATCTGGGGTATTTGCCCTCGATCGTCGCACTGCTCGGTGTCTGGTGCTAATTTCTTTGGCTCTCGTTCGGGTGCGCATCCGCAGGTCTTCTTCATTTGGAGTTGGGGGCGGGCGACCAGTTCCCGGAGGTGGCTCACGAGGGTTTGTGATGACTGGTAGGTCCCCATACCTCTTGAAGTGGATGCGGCACTCATAGCACAGCAGCTGCTTATCCTTCCCTGCATGGTGCCAGTCACGTGATGCTATGGCAGACAGGATGACAGGAAAGAATCAGCAGAGGATTTTCAAGGATACAATATTGTTATTACATTTTCTGAACATGCCTATTAATAAAATTCTAAATAAATAAGCACAAAATTATATTAAACTCATAGCTCTCCCTATCTATTTCTAAAAATATTGGGCATTAAATACTCATCTACAATCATTGAAAATCAGAAATGTTCAAGCCAAAGCAGCAATGACTTTTCGTTTTACATAATCCTTGGTCTACTTCCCATCTGAGCCACTTACAGGTAGTGTAGCAGTGTCTGCAATGGTATCCTTGACGATCCTTTGAGTCTGAATCGTCAGAGTCATCGTCCTTCTCTGAGGCAGATGATGGATCAAGGGGATCGCTGGGACCTGTGTTCCGCTGAGCACGAGGAGTTCGAATTCTTCTCAGCACGTTTTGCCTTCTGTGCCGGCGGTGTGGCCTGTGTCCTGCTGCAGCCGGTGTCTTTTTCCACAAGTAGTAAAAGGATACGAGATCGCTCTGGAAAGATATCAGACAAAAATGATACCATTACCTTTATGCTTGCTTTATGTAAACACGATATTACAACCTGGAATATAAAAAACTAAAAGATTAAAGTAAAAAAGGCATCTATAGCCAATAGTTTTCCCTATGAAAGGCTGTTCATATTTTCATTAATTAACTAAGATACATTTAAAATGTGAATATTATGCAAAGTTAAGTACTTACAGTTTCCTTGTGAGGCAGTAAATCTTTTCGTATTCTGAAGAAATTTTTGCCATATTGTCTAAGACCCTTCATAAATCGTTTCTGGAATATAAAAAACATTATTAACATGAATGCATCCAAGTTCTACAAGCAAGTGACATAGCCTTTTTCCAAACATTTTTCTCCACAATGTTTTCATTATGAATGAGTCAAGTACTGTATACAAATGTATCTGGCTCTGTTCAAAGGTTCCCTTTGATCACAACCATGATATCACCCCCATACCCCTACTCCCTTTGTACACCCTCCCCTCCCACATATCTATCTATCTATCTATCTATCTATCTATATATCTATATATCTATATATCTATATATCTATATATCTATATATCTATATATCTATATATCTATATATCTATATATCTATATATATATATATATATATATATATATATATATATATATATATATATATATATATATATATATATATATACATATATATATATATAAATATATATATATACATTATATATATATATATATATTATATATATATATATATATATATATATATATATATATATATATATATATATATATATATATATATATATATATATATATATATATATATGTATGTATGCGTATATGTATACGTATATGTATACGTATATGTATACGTATATGTATACGTATATGTATACGTATATGTATACGTATATGTATATATAGATATGTATATATAGATATGTATATATATATGTATATATAGATATGTATATATATATTTATATATATATATGTATATATATATATTTATATGAATATATATATGTATATATATATATATGTATATATATATGTATATATATATATATATGTATATATATATATATATATATATATATATATATATATATATATATATATATATATATATATACTTTAAACCTTTATATACTTATAACTGATAAAATACATATTTTTGTTGCTCCATTTGTTTTTGATTTGCATGTAATATAACAAAATTCTATTGCTGGGGGACAGACAAGCTGGAGGTTTTGCTGTTCTTAGAGATTTAGGATTAAGGAAAAGACAAAGACCTGAAGGAAAGGAAGGGCACTTACTCTGTCTTCTTCTGACCACTTCTTTTCAATGCCATCTGGGACAGGACACTTGACCAGTGCTTGGAGTGCTTTACCGTGGTCATAGTCACTGTTGTGGAGCTGAAAACCCAAAGAAACCTTAATAATACAAAGAATTTCTAAATGCTATATCTGCAGTTGATTTAATGAAAATGCTCTTCGACATTCAAGCTTACTGTCTCGTTAGGAGACTTTTAAACACATCCTTACCATTTCCAGGGCATTGATAGTAGTGTCATCTCGCGATGCCGCATTGCAGCCATCATTGGTTGAGCCTCCGTCGCAGAGACCAGCAAAGGCAGCCATGGACCTCGCGGCTCTCAAGTACATCAGGAGGTCTGTGTCTGGGGAGGCTCCTGGTACCCAACGTTGCTCCTCCCAATCAGCACATACCTCTGGCCTTTCTTCCACCATCACATTCCCCCTGAAATTTGCAAATTGCTCTCCTAAAGACACCAGTGATTCAGCACTTTCTTTCAGAGGTGGAAACAATAACAAAAAATATGGGTGATGTTACATACGTGTACATATAGGTACAATACCAAGCTCACACAAAGCCTCAATACCATGTAACACTATCTATGTATCCATACAGCACTAACCTATATTCAGGAAGTTTAGCTTGATGTGAAGGGCCCACACGGATTTCTCCCTGCGTAGATGCCAGTCTTCTTGTCTCTGGATTATACCTGTTTTAAAAAAGGATGTTTGGTTACCATCTAATCATTTCTGTTTATTCTCAATTAGATAAAAACCACTATGTTTCCCCTTCCATTCAACATTGCTGACAAAAATAAAGATCAAAACTTTCCCAATACATCTGAATAAAAAACCCTTGCCCACACTCACAGAACTCCATTTGTACACCTACCCTAATATGTAGAAAAAGGCATTCTCCTCCGGGTTGAAGTCTCTTACGGAATGTATGTCCGAGTAGTGATCCACGCGACATAGCCCTCTTAAAACGGAGACGGGGTACGAATCTGTGGCGTCGGAGATGAAGAGCTCCCGGGACTTAATGACAGGATCGTCCGTAACTAAAGATTTATTATCTGCAGAGAGAGAGAGAAGGGAAAAAAAAAAAAAAAAGTTGAGGGAACTTTCAAAGTTGTAGGTGTGGTGGGGGGAGTGAGGGTGGTGGGTGTGGTGTGGTGTGGTGTGGTGTGGTGTGGTGTGGTGTGGTGTGGTGTGGTGTGGTGTGGTAGGGGTGGGGGTGGGGGTGGGGGTGCATATGAGTGTAAGTGTGAGTGTGGTGGTGGTGGGGGGTGTAAGTATGGTGAGGGTGGTGGAGGTGGATAATATATATATGTGTGTGTGTGTGTGTGTGTGTGTGTGTGTGTGTGTGTGTGTGTGTGTGTGTGTGTGTGTGTGTGTGTGTGTGTGTGTGTGTGTGTGTGATAAGTATATAATATTATATATGTATATATTTATAAATTTGTAAATATTTACATATACATATATCTATCTATCTATCTATCTATCTATCTATCTATCTATCTATCTATCTATCTATATATATATATATATAATCTTAAATATATATATATATATATATATATATATATATATATATATATATATATATATATATATATATATATATATATATATATACACACACATATATATATATATATTTATATATATATAATCTATTCATACATGAATATATATAATTTATATATATATATGAAAATATATATGAATATATATAATTTATACATATATGAAAATATATATGAATAAATATAATTTACATATATATATGAAAATATATATGATTATATATGTGTATATATAGATATACATGTATATATATATGTATATGTATATGTATATGCATATATATGTATATATATGTAGATATATGTATATATATGTATATATATGTATATATATGTATATATATGCATATATATGAATATATATGTAAAAATATGTATATGTAAATATGTACATATATGTATATGTATATATATAATGTATATACAATATATACGTATATATATGTATATATGTATATATTTATATATAACTATATATATGTATATACATATATATGTAATATATATATATATATATATATATATATATATATATATATATATATATATATATATATATATATATATATATATATTATATATATATATATATATACATATAAAAATATATATTGTCAATGTTATCCTAATTAGTGTAAATTTACAATCTTTAACCCATTGGATCCGGATGTTTCATGGCAATCACATAGTCCAGAATATGGACATTAGGCTTCCGTGAGCAGCCACTCGGACAGGTGAGTGGGTTGTAGGCTAGGCACAAATGAACACTCCTGTGCTGTGCAATGACAAGATTCTATGCCCCCCTCTTTGCAATGTTGTTTTCTTTTTATGCATGAGAGTTTTTAGCTTTTTTGCCATTTTCCAATGTCTATATTTGTTATTTGATTTGCTTTATCCAGATGGTAATAGACGGTTTTCCTTGAACACTCTTTATCATCTCTCTAGGTAGTCCATAACAAGAATAACAACAGTATGTAACACTTTGTTATTAGTAATTTTTTTCATAATATTGGAGCCAGCACTACTCCAGTCATGGCTCATGGACATTACATTCCATACTCCTTTAACAATGGAAATAATGCAAAATCCATTTCCTAAATATCGAAACAAGTCTAATCACTTTCCAAGAGCTTTGTACACTAGTAGCAAGTTCTTCCCATGACACCAGCCTTCAGCCAAAACGCTCACAATGGCAAGATCGCATCACCCTGGCCCACAGCTAGATTTTCCCATGATGGCATGTTCACGTTACCTGCACCCCAAGCCAATTTTTTTCATGATGTGATGGTCATATCATCCGGATCATAAGGGGTTAACTGACTATTGCTAATACACTACTGCTATAGGAAAGCAATGTGAACAAAATCCAAACTATAATCTTATGTATATGACTTGCATAATTGTCCAATAAGTTATAATTAAACATTATGTCCTGAAATCTATTTATCTTAAACTAAGGTATATACTTTAAAATACTAAAGGCACCCTCAGCAAATGCCATGGATGCCTTTAGTAATCTGAAGCACTTGACAGTTGAAGTACTTGACACTTGCACAATTTCACAAATCAAGTTCCACCATAGTTATGCATGAGAAACAAGAATTAGAACCTTAAAATCAAAAGGTTAATGAATCACTATCACACACTCCTCCGTGTAAACTAGAACGTTAACATGCAAATTCTGTTTTAAGTTTTATTTGCTTAAAATGGCTAAAAGAGATCAATTCCAATTCATGAAAAGCAGTGTCTTCTCTTTCTTCAATATTTTGAGAGAATTTATTTTGTGAAGAGAATTTACAATTAATTTCTAAAATAGGTTTGCCATTTCTAAATTACTAAGAATAAGCTGGGAAAAAAAATGTACATATACATATCATGATCATGGCATCTTGATTTCTCTCTCTCTTCTTTAAACTACACCAATGTACTAGTGTTCTTAATAACTTATTACTATTATCAAAATACCATTACAATAAATTTTCACAACTAACTGTTCTCTGTGTTGCGATCCTGCACAAGCCGTTGGTATACTGTTTCTGGCACTTCTGAGGGTCTGTAGAACCACTTAATGTTAACCATTAAAGTGTCTCTTTTACTCTGTGGAAAATTGAGAAATTAGACCTACTTAACAAAGATAAAACAAATTTGTTTATCCACTTGCCTGACTATGTGCAAGTGGCAATTTTGCATAAGACAAAGTGTTATGCATTCTACAAACAAATTCCTTCTTATTACAGCATAAAGCATTTGCCACTTTCTCAATGAAATATGCAGGAATCATGATGACATGCTATGCAACAAACATATTTCATGTCATATCCAAGTATATGGAACATTGACAAAACAAAAAAGAAGCAGGATAGTTACTTCAGGCTCACTCACCCTACGAAACTCTTGAATTGAGCAGATGAAAAATGGTTGATCAGCTCTCTGGCTCTCTATATATACAGATTCTGCAGGAGGATAAAAATTTCTATACCTACTACACAACACCACACGACATTCTATTATTCATAGAATATCATGGGAACAACATAACCTGCAAACTCTTGCAGCGAATCTGCAAAAACTTTTCTCTGGATTAAAAAGTTATTACTTAAGGCTATATTTCTCAACTGATTGATAACAAAAATTTTTACAACTATAGTCTTGGCAAACATCTACCAAAACAAATAACAATATGACAATTAAAAAAAAAATCTTCAAGCAACAACAAGAATTTTCACAAGAGAAAATCTAGCTATTGCACATACTTACCTCCTGGACGATACAAAGTTGTATCATCTGTACAGAGGTAGGAAACATATTCTCCATTAGGTGCTCGGAATGCTTGTCCTCTCACTGGCTGCTTTTTACCAACAACTGCAGTCATAACCTAAAAGGGTCAAACAAAAAACAAACAAACAAAAAACATTAATATCAAGACATTAAACAATACTTGATGTAGATAATGGGATTGTTTTCCTATACTTTAAGAATTTGCTTTTACACTCTCCAAGTCCTGCATATTTTTACTCGAAAATCAATCAATTATCTTCAACACAAGCGCTACCACAAACACAGATAACCAATATATCTCACCACCACTCCAAGCAACGTCAACATCATTTCAAAATTTTTCAGTAAATAGTAGTGTTACATGAAGTTTTCCCATTATTGAAGAGTTCTAAAAAATATCAAGGAATGAACTTGTTTTTACCTCTGTGATTGACTTGAGGCCATCCTTGCATCAACTGCTTGAAAGACTTTCCCATATTAACCTGCCCTCCACCCTCATCCATCACCCTTCCACTACCAACCCCTGCTTCCACCTTCCCTCCACCTTCCCTCCACCTTCCCTCCACCTCCACTGCCTTCCCTCCAGCTCCCCTACCTCCTCAATGACTGTGCCATCTGGTCCCTTTGGTCCCCCCGGCACCAGGACTCCGCTCGGCGGGATGGAATTTGTAGAAGAATTCGAGTTGGAGTTGGAGGAGGCAGTTGACGAGGGGGGGGTGTTGCTGGCATTCCCACAGCCTCCCCCTTGCTCCCCCTGATCAACCACCTTGCCTCTGTCCGTGGTCGTCATGGTGACACTAGCTGGCCTTCATCTGTATACAAAAGATAGAGTACATCATTAATAACTATATAATATTAATAAAATAATATAAATATACAAAATAGTAATAGTAATAATAATAATGTCAATAATAACAATAACATCAATAATAACAATACCAATGATAATAATAAAAATAATAATAGTAACAACCACAACAATAAGGATAACACCACCATCAACCCCAACAACAAAAAATAATAGCAGTTGTAGATGTAATAATGGTAGTAGTAATAGTAATAGTAATGGTAATAATAATAATAATAATAATAATAATAATAATAATAATAATAATAATAATAATAATAATAATAATAATAATAATAATAATAATAATAATAATAACAACAATAACAATAACAATAACAATAACAATAACAATAACAATAACAATAACAATAACAATAATAATAATAATAATAATAATAATAATAATAATAATAATAATAATAATAATAATAACAACTATAGCAATAGCAATAGCAATAGCAATAGCAATAGCAATAACAACAACAACAAGGGAGAAGAGGCAAAGGAGGAGAGGGGAGGGGAGGGGAGGAGATTGGTGGGAAGAGGAGAAAAATGAAGAGGAGAGGAGAGGAGGGAAGAGAAGGGGAGGAAAGAGGGAGTGGACAGAAGGGGAGGGGAGGGGAGGGGAGGGGAGGGGAGGGGAGGGGAGGGGAGGGGAGGGAAGGGAAGGGAAGGGAAGGGAAGGGAAGGGAAGGGAAGGGAAGGGAAGGGAAGGGAAGGGAAGGGAAGGGAAGGGAAGGGAAGGGAAGGGAAGGGAAGGGAAGGGAAGGGAAGGGAAGGGAAGGGAGGAGGAGGAGAAGGAGGAGGAGGAGGAGGAGGAGGAGGAGGAAGAGGAGGAGGAGGAGGAGGAGGAGGAAGAGGAGGAGGAGGAGGAGGAGGGGCAGGGGGAGGAGGAGGAGGACAAACAAGGGAGCATCTGTTTAGTGTGCACAACACACATGGCATAGGTGTACACGTCCATCTGGGAAGGAGTCCAGTCATGCCATGATAGGTCCATACATGCCACACGTTGGCAAGGGGTAAATAAATACTCAAGCCCTATATAGGATGGTGCTAATAAATCATATTAAAAAATACAAGATTTATTTCTAACAAACAAGGGACACTGTAAAAGTCAACAGCTGAATGTTGCAAGATCTTTCTTATTTGACCTAAGTTTCATTCTCTGCACTTTCTGCAATTCATTTCACTCAAGCAAAAAGAACCACAACTGATGGACAGGCTTACCATTACCATGGAAAGCCTGGATCACACTCAAAACATATTTGTCACAATATCACATTCTAATGAGTTTCAAAGGCCTCATTAATGCTGATAAAATCCTTACATATTACACTATTCATCATCATTAAAAATATAAGCACACATAAGACAAAAGCTTTCTATTCTAAATTTCCCCTTCACTGTATGTAATCCCAGGGGTTTTCCATATAACCCAAGAAATACCCTACACTAAACAGAAAAGATATAAATAAATACAGAACACAAAGTTAATGAGGCACAAAAAAAAGTGTTTTATCAATTGTGCCAGGTCAATGCATACCTATGTTACTCACCTAGTGGAAATTCTAGACTATGATCATCACTATCATAAACCAAAAGATTCCCCACCATAACTTTTAAAAGTCCAAATCAGCATAAAAGCCTAACATGAGCTACAAACTTCCACCTCAGCTGCACCTCTTGCAACTATCAAGCATTTAATCAATCTTAATTAGGTTATGGCCTTGAATTTCCTCAAAGTCACATAAATTAACATATTTCTTTGATTTTAACACAAGTACAGACTTTAATCATGCTTGAGCACATTATGCAATTTCTTTCTTGATGTAAAATACTGCCAAATATCATGAGAAATAATGTTCAGGTTTAGAGTATATATTTCTCCATTAGAAGTGAGTCACCAGACTAGTGTTTCATAAACACATTGCTCTTACCTCAAACATACACTTTCTCTCATATAAACTAAGATTGGGGAGGGAGAGGGAGAGGGAGAGGGAGAGGGAGAGGGAGAAGGAAAGGGAGAGGGAGAGGGAGAGGGAGAGGGAGAGGGAGAGGGAGAGGGAGAGGGAGAGGGAGAGGGAGAGGGAGAGGGAGAGGGAGAGAGACAGAAAGAGTGAGGCAGGGAGACAGAGTAGAAGAGACAGAGAGGAGGAGAGAGAGACAGAGAGCGGGAGGGAGGGAGGGAGAGAGGGAGGGAGGGAGAGAGGGAGGGAGGGAGGGAGGGAGGGAGGGAGGGAGGGAGGGAGGGAGGGAGGGAGGGAGGGAGGGAGGGAGGGAGGGAGGGAGGGAGGGAGGGAGGGAGAGAGGGAGGGAGGGAGTGAGAGAGAGTGAGTGAGAGTGAGAGAGAGTGAGTGAGTGAGAGAGTGAGAGAGTGAGAGAGAGAGAGAGAGAGAGAGAGAGAGAGAGAGAGAGAGAGAGAGAGAGAGAGAGAGAGAGAGAGAGAGAGAGAGAGAGAGAGAGAGAGAGAGGGAGGGAGAAGGCAAGTGAGAATGTCAGTGTTGTCTTGTAGACATCCCATCACTATTACCAGTCTGTCAGGGATTTGGTTAGTCCCCCGAATTGGTGGTTGACAGAAACGCATAGTCTGGTTGGACTGTTTATTGGAGAAGGTTGATGGTAGCGTAACATGGACAAAGGGAGGAAAGGAGAGAGAGGGAGGGAGGGAGGGAGGGAGGGAGGGAGGGAGGGAGGGAGGGAGGGAGGGAGGGAGGGAGAGAGGGAAGGAGAGAGAGAGAGAGAGGGAGAGAGGGAGAGAGAGGGAGAGAGGGAGGGAGGGAGGGAGAGAGAGAGGAGAGAGGAGAGAGAGAGAGAGAGAGAGAGAGAGAGAGAGAGAGAGAGAGAGAGAGAGAGAGAGAGAGAGAGAGAGAGAGGTAGAGAGGGAGGTAGAGAGGGAGGTAGAGAGGGAGGTAGAGAGGGAGGTAGAGAGGGAGGTAGAGAGGGAGGTAGAGGGGGAGGTAGAGAGGGAGGTAGAGAGGGAGGTAGAGAGGGAGGTAGAGAGGGAGGTAGAGAGGGAGGTAGAGAGGGAGGTAGAGAGGGAGGTAGAGAGGGAGAGAGGGAGAGAGGGAGAGAGGGAGAGAGGGAGAAGGAGAGAAGGAGAGTATAATGATTTAAACTCGGGATCTGTTTGGCTTCTTCATTGCCAAGAACAGAAATGTAGTTTGTGGAGATCTTGGTATGCATCATAGCGTTGCTTAGGGGTGAAAAGGGGTTGGTTACCACTGGAAATGTGGCACGGGGATCAGCTGTTTTTTCCCGGAAATGTGTCATGGGGGTGTGTGAAGTGAGGAAACCACCCCCTACTGTTGTCACAATGCACTGCCACCAGCCCTAATGGCCTCTGATTTAAGTTACAAAAGAACCACTATATTATCTGGCAAGTCTAAAGGACAACTTTGTATCTGTTTTGGTTCTTTATTGTCAAGAACAGACACATAGGTTGTAGAGATCTTGGTATGGTAGCAGTATCAAGGTCAGCTGATATGGGTGAAGCGACGAAGGCATGTACAGGTCGTGAGGGGCACAAAGTGAGGTCACCACACTTTACTGTTCTCACTGCCACATGGCTATCACAGAAAGAAAGAAAAAGAAAGAAAGAAGAGGAAGAGAAAAAAAAGAGAGAAAGGAGGAAGGGGAGAGAAAAGAAAGAGAAGGGAGTGAGAAAGAAAGAGAGAATAAGGAGAAATAAAGAAATAAAGAAAGAAAGAAAGAAAGAAAGAAAGAAAGAAAAAGAGGAAAGAGGAGAAGAGAAGAGGAGGAGAGGAAGAGAGAGGAGAAAGGAGAGAGGAGAGACAGCCAGACAAAGCCAGCCAGGCAGATAAAAACCCTGCCATAAGACCCTGTCAGGAATATTATTTACCTTGCTGAAACATTTATGAACCTATCTATGAATGTCAAGGAAAGAGCAACAGGGTACACACTCAAACAGATATATAGACAGAAGATATGCATGCTGGAAAAATAATATTCGTATAAAACAATAAGCTAGCCAGCTATTAAGATTATGATAGGGCATGTTATGAAGCAGGATTCATTGACAATTAACTGATAATAAAAATGATGTAACAAATCAATTAAGCCAACTATTCATAATATGTCTGAGCAGAAAAAGACAACATAGGCAAGTTTAAATAGGACTTTAATAAGGATCCTGTATCGTATCCAATGCTATAAAAATGACAATAATGATCAATGGAAAGTGAAGATAGTGATACAACCTGATATAAAAAGGACAATATATCTTTGCTGACTCAAGCTAGAGATCTCCAGCTATCATTCACCTTGGTCTCAATGCCTGCTGATACCCAAGCAAAGACTAACAAATCTCCATTACATGCATTCTGGCAAGATATATTCTGTGGGCCTGTATATACACATACATATATACATATATACATACATACATACATACATACATACATACACT